TTGTCAATAATATCTTCCTCTTAGCACCCGAGCCAGAAGAGATGAAGGGTACTGAATGAGTCTCCATGGTTGCTTCGCTAGCAAAGCTAGATTAAAATCATTTAGATCTCTAAAGCCAAGGCCTCCCATGTCCTGTGGAATACAAATCTTGTTCCGCTGCTAGTTTGTTTTGAACTCCACCAAAAATTGGCAATGGCGCTCTGAAGTTTGTCTGTAACCCCTTTAGGAAGGAGAAAACAAGACATGACGTAAGTGGGGACGGCTTGAGCCACTGATTTAATCTGAATCTCTTTTCCACCCTTGGAAAGAAGTCTTGCGGACCAATTATTAACACGATTACTAAGGCGTTCATGAACAAAAGAAAAGACCTTCTTCTTTGATCCACATATTTGCTCAGGTAGGCCTAGGTACATGCCCATACCGCCTTCTGTAGAAATACCTATGGTATTTAACACTTCGTTTGAGATCTGGGTCCACTCTATCTCCAAATATGATGGATGATTTCCCCGGATTAAGTTGTTGTCCCGACGCCATTCCATAAGTGTTTATGATTCGAAGAATCTCCGCTCCTTGTTGGATATCCGCTTTACAGAAAAACAGGCTATCATCAGCAAAGAGAAGGTGGGAAACTGGGGGACTTGCTTGAGCTATTTTCAGCCCAGAGATTCGCTCCTCTTCCTCTGCTCCCTTGAGGAGCGAAATAAGGCCTTCTGTGCACAGAATAAAGAGGAAGGGGGAGAGAGGGTCCCCTTGCCTTAAGCCCCTCGACGGTTTGATATTACCTTTAGGTTCTCCATTAATAAGGACCTGGTATGAAACTGATGAGATACAAAACATCAGTAAACTGACCCATCTCGATGAATATCCTAACTTGATTAGGAGAGCTTGAATGAAACTCCATTCAATTCGGTCATATGCTTTGCTCATATCTGTCTTGATAGCCATAAAATTTTCTCTACAATTTGTGTTGCTTCGGAGTGCGTGAAAATTTTCTTGCGCAACAGAATATTATCTGTAATAAGTCGTCTAGCCATGAAGGCCGATTGTGTTTCTGAAATGATGTTTGGAAGTGTCTTTTTGAGTCGTTTGCATAAAAGCTTGGAGATGATCTTGTAACTGACGTTATACAGGCTGATTGGGCGAAATTCCCCCATTGCTCTAGGTTTGTTTATTTTTGGGATTAGACAAATATTTGTCTGGTTAAGTCTAGGATCAAAAGTTCCGGAGCTGAAAAAGTTTTTAACCAGTTTAACAATATCTTGGCGAATAAAAGACCAGAATTTTTGGTAAAATTTGCTTGTCATACCATCAGGGCCAGGAGCTTTATCCGGGTTAATATCGAAAAGCGCATCTTTAATTTCTTTCTCCGACGGATCCTTCAAAAGTAATTGATTTGTATTATCTGAGACTTTCTCGGTAATAAACCGGAGAGAATTTTCTGGGTCTGAGGGGATAGACGAGGAGAAAAGGTCTTGAAAATATGTAGAGGCCACTTTTTCTATTCCTCTCGCATTTTCCACCAAATGTCCGTTACTATCCTTAAGGGAGACGATGCGGTTCTGGCTCTCCTTTGATTTATAAATCTATTATTAATAAAGGTTAAAGCTATATGCCTCCAAGAATGTTTATATATAATTTAAAAGTTCAATCTTATTGGTATACATTAATATTTAAAATTAAGAAAAATTTCTAAATTTTAAAATTATATTGTTAACAGAAAAATATATTTATAAAAAAAAATAAAAGTTGAAACTATATGCCTCTAAAAACATCGACATAAGTTTTAAAAAGGTTAATTTTATTAGTCCACATCAATATCTAAAATTAAAAAAGTTTCTAAATTATAAAATTACATTGTTAATACAAAACAATATAGGAAAAATTGTTAGCTAAAATTATTATATTATTAATAACAGTTGAATCTATACTATTTTCAAGGTATCCACATCAATATTTAAAAATTCATTTTTATTCATATATGAAAATTTTAAATTATAAAAAAATCATAATTATAATATTATGATTAAGAAAATAAATTAAAATTAAAGAAATCTCTATTAACAAAAAACCCAACATGATATTAAAATCTCCATTATTATTGTTTAAGTTACAAATTTAATTTATTATCTATTAAAAATATATGCTATTTATGCAAGTTTAAGATACTTGATTTTAAAGCTTTTCACGTAAAATTTTAAATAACTAATAATTATGATTTATATTCATCTATTTTTTTCACATATACAAAACATATTTCTACATAATCTCATGTAATATATTTTGCAAAAATGATCAAAAATTTTTGTTTTGTATATTCGACTTGGAATTACAATAGATTAATGTAGAAGTTCTTAGTTTTAAGTTGTTCAATTTGTTACTTTATTTTTTTAAATTTGTATGTATTAAATTGTATCGGTTTTGCCTACTTGATTATAAGTAAAAGAAGTGAGAATGAATATGATGAAACAGAATATAATCATACAAAAAACATTAACAATAAGTGAATATCATATATTCATTGAAAAAAAATATAACAAGAATAAAAATGAACATGATGAAAAAACATTTCATTCTTATTAGAAGAGATGACTTATAATCATTGAAAAATTATTTAAAAGTTTACACTACCAATTGATAAAAATATATTTAATTCATAAACTTTGTTTGATTTTCTACATTTCATATTCAACTATTGTTTTGGTTTCAAATTTAAATTTGTTATTAATCTCAAAGCAAATATTTTATTTATTAGTTTGTTTTTTTAATTATTATATCAAAATAAAAATTTGTTATTGGTTAAACAAGAGAAGAAAAATATTAAATATTAAATTTTATTATTTTTTATTATTTTTAAAGAACACATATATAATTAGAATAAAAGTAAAAATGATGAAAAAAATTTATCTTCTTGATTCAAAGAAGTGAATGTATAATATTTTATCATCATGTCAATACTATGTTTAAAATTACCATTTGATTAATTTGTAATAATTTTAGTTGGTTTGAATATATTAACTTATAAGTGTTTGACCAAATAATAAGTTTTTAAATACCACATATTGTATATAGATTAAAAAAAAACTGATAAAACCTCACAATTTACATAAAAATTATTAGATTAACACCATAATATTTTTAATATATTATTAAAACACTAATATATAAAATTTATATCTTAATAAATATAACTGATTGCATATAATTTTTTATCAACAAAAATATCCACGTATAGCGTGGACGCAAAATCTAGTATATCAAAGAATTATAATAAGTATTGACTTAGTGGTTTGGTAATTTTGTTCTTTTGGCTATATGATTGTTTTTGAGAGTAGGTTTTTAAATTGACTATATAGATTATACATATGTGAAAATAATAGTATGCTATTAAAAGTGACTGTATAAATGATAACATGGGATAATAGAAAGAAATGAGTTATAAATAATCATGTAATTTGGTAATATAATAATAAATTATAAATAGTTATTGACTGATATTATTAATAGTATGCTTTTAAAGTTGACAATGCACTATGCACATATGCAAATAATAGAAAACTATTAAAACTGACTACGTAAATTATATACTGTATTAGTGGATAATACGAAGGTAGTATCTAATATTAAAATAATAAATACCTTTACATATACACTAATTAAAATCTAATTATGTAAAAACACATAAATTAGCTTGTTTAGTTGTTGTCAAAAACTTGTTGGACGTTGTTAAGATATGTTAATAATTTTATTGAAGATAAAGATATAAGTGTTTTTATATATATGAGATATGTGTGAATAGTAGTATTATTCAAAAACACAAAATACTACTATTTAATTGATAAATGTTTAAATAGTATGAAATACGAAAATATGTTTAAAGACACTATTAAAATGATGTTTGACCAAAAAAAGAAAAGAAAAAGACACTAATTAAATGGTTAAAGTTAAAAAGCCACCAAATAAAATTGTATTTAGTTAATGGAAGCTGAATCTATTAATATTTACATTAAGACAAAATTTGTAAATATAGTATAGAAATATTTTAGTTAAATGATTTATGCGTGAAAAGGAAGAAATTGATGTTACTATCTATGTTAAAATACATTTAGAGATATACTAATTAATTTTATGTGAAAAATAGTTTTTTGTACTTATTAATTAGATGATGCATTTATTGATATATGTTAAATATTTTTTAGGGGTAAATATATTAATACTTTTAACTTAAATATATAAATACTTTTATAAAAGTATAAATCTATGAATAGTATAAAATTTATGGTGGTATCTACACTTAAATACGATATAAGAATTAACTAATAGATAAAATGTGCTATATATATATTTTTTAAAATATTGGACCATTGTATTTCTTGGTATTTGCTATAATATTTTGCGTAAAAATATAGAAACAGTATTTATGAAATATATATATATATATATATATAACAATATGAAACTTGCTGTCAATAATTATACTAAATTACATTCAAAAATATACTATAATTAGTGTTAAAAAAGATATATTAATTAAATTATAAAAGTCAAAAATTGCACAAAATAGTTCCATGTGTCGAGATACTTTAATAATATTAAATTGCTACACTACTATAAATTCATTGGATTGAGAAGAACATAAAATCAACAAGTTTTTGAGAAACTTGATCATTGTCTCTCCTTCCAAATTATCTTATTTAAAGAGAGAAAACCTATGACAAAAATATAGTATAATATAAAAAGGATATAAAAATACAATTGAGTTTTCTCTCTAGGAGAAGAGAAAAGAGAAAAAGAGGCTGCTGTTTTGTTCATGCGTTTCGTTCTCCAAAAAAAAAAACACAGAGCCAAAAAACAATCTAGCCTCCTTCTCTTCTTCTTCTACCAGTCTCTCTTCCCATCTCAAAAACCCTAATTTCTATTCGATTTCTCTCTTTTGAAAACCCTAATCGTTTCCTCCATTCGCTTCTCCTTCCATCGCTTCCCGTTTCCTCTCTCGGTTTGTTTTTTTTTTTTTTGCAACTTTCATCTTTCTCCCTCCTTGGGTAGGAAGCCATTGTTTCGTTTGAACGATTGCATCTAAAAAACTCCTGCATATTCCGTTTAGACGAATAATCTCCGTCTTGGTTTGGTTTCGTTGTCGCACCCACCGTTTCAATTTTCTTATTCCGGGAAAAAATTTCTGGTGATGCGTTGAACGAATTTCTCCGTGGTATTGATTCTAGGGCTTAGGCTGATTAATATCGGGAGTGATAGTCATATATAGAAGATATTATTGCGTAGGGATTTTAGGGTTTTCTGGTTTGGTGCCATCACTGTAATTGAGGCTAGTTCCTTTATTGGTAGGTTTATCGATAGCGATTATGATCTTCGAGCATCTTTAAAATCATCCTGTGGGAGAGACGGTTTTCTCGTCACTGATTTTCGTGTAGCTTTGAGACGAATCATTATTTTTTGTGGGAAATTTTGGATTTTGAGATTAAGCAGACGAATGATTGTGATATCTTCCCTGCCCTTTTGTGGTGTTAGGTGATTAGAGGGTAGCGAGATATTCAGCATTTTATATAGGAAGACGAGGCTTTTTGGTTATATTGTTCTTGAGGGTGAAAAAGGCCAGAGGATTTGCAATTTCGTTCTTTTATTCTGATGAAGTATAGCTTTACTGATGGAGAAACGTGAACCCTCTTTAGTTCCTGAATGGTTGAGAAGTACAGGGCATGGTTCTGGTGTTGGGAGTAAAAATCACATTCTATCATCTTCTTCTCGTTCAGGTATGTTTGAGTTCATAACAATATGTTTGTAGGATTTAGTATTTTGACCATAGCTTCTTTATTTGGTAAAAACATTGTTTGATTGATTTGAATTGCATTGTGACCCTATTTTCCTTTCCTTTTCGGTTGGTTTAGATTCTTCCTTGTCACATAATAGCAAGAGTAGGAATTCTAGGAGCAAATGTGATGTTGATTCAGCTCGGTCTCCGTTTCTCGATCGATCTTCTTCCACCAATGCACGGAGGGGATTTAGTAATGGGTCTACCAAAAATGCATATAGTAGTTTCAATGTCAATAGGAGCCACAGAGATAAAGACCGGAGCAGGGAGAAGGATACGTGGAGCTACATGGATCCATGGGATAATGACAATCCTCAAGATGCCTTCTTGATTGGTAGGGATCAGGAGAAACTGAGACGATCACAGTCAATGACAACAAGTAATGTAGAAGTATTTATAATTATTTATATATATAGTTTGTTAATGATTGTGTATTTAGATCACACATTTTTTTTTTGTTCGTGCGTTTCACCAGAAAAAATGAAACGTAAGCTTGGACGACCTCAGAAAAAAGGTTCATCTTCGTTGATTGCTCCAAATAAAAGTGTTTTTTAAATAAATTACATTTTAAGACATTTACGTGTTATAAATTTGCTTACTATTAACTAGAATTTGTAGGTGGTAATGCTAAGAACGCACGATATGCTCCTACCAGTGTAACTGATATAGACCAACTTGGAGGTTTGTTCCGTTACAATATCAATGAAGTTCCTGATCTAACACCCCGGGAATTTGTAATGCACAACAGAGACGAATGCATATCATGCGTGAGAGGAGAAAAAAAAGAAGCTATTGGTTTGATCTTCTTTTTCATAATTACAATGTTTATTAATAATTATACGTCTGATTTACACTTATTATTTTTTCCGTTAAAAAAACAAACAGATCTTTTGGCTACTTCTATCAACACCGAAGAGTTTGCTTGCTTTATTGCTACTGATTCTGAGTCCAATATAGATAATGATGAAGACTCTATGTCGGAAAGTGAGGATGTGGAAAAATCGAGGTCTGGTAATAAAAAAAAAGGAAGACCCAAAACACGTGCTAAAATCTCTGATTTTTGTGATGAGGATGCAACAGAGACCGTTGTTACTAGAACAGATTTATTGGAATCAGTTAGTCATGTACTGAAAGATGGAGGTTATGGTTTTCATTGTACTAATATATTTCATTCAACACATAATATATAACTACTGTGTAATTAATACTAAGCAATGAATATTATTTTAATTAGGTTATTACGACGATGGTGATCCTATATATATATGTGGTAATTGTAAGGCTTATATGTGGTATGGAGAGAGGTTGGGCAAACGATATCGACGTGGGAAGCCTATATTCTCCATGTGTTGTGGTCAGGGTAAAGTCGTTCTTCCACTTCTTAAATTGGAAAGTGTTGCAATTTAGCAAAAGATGAAGTTTTGAAAGTGTTGCTGTATATTTACTTATTGAGATCGAGCAACACAGACTATTTTACTAAATATAATCTTTTGCTAAATTGCAACACTTCCCATAAAATAATATGATTTCTCTCTATAGCTTATGTTATTTGGACAATTTTATGTTTCAATATTTTATGAAATGACATATTCATACAACATCATAACAAAAATGCCATTTATGTAGACTTTTACGTTATAACTTTATGTATATACTTGAGCATTTTTCCTTAAAATTATATGAAACAGGAAACCTGAAAAGTTAAACGGTTAGTTGCAAACATAAAGTCGCATAATCTTCCCCATAAAAAAATTGAAAAATGTGAAAATTGATTATTATTGCACACATTATAAATACTGACTTGAGGGTTTCTTTTCAAAAAACTTTAAAATATTTTATAAGTACCATTATCGTTTCTGAGAGAATTCATAAGAACATGGCGAACACAAACGAAAAAAAATTCGGTGAAAATGGCTTGTTGATCATCAATCCCCCACCATTGGTAATGAGATTCAGTGTCGTGGAACCAAAGTCACCACCTTCACCAACAGATTCCGAGATAGAGCAAGAAGAATTATGGGAACAAATACACTTATTCACCGCATCAAATCAGAAAGCCAAACAGAACACTCCTCAGGTAATACATCTTATTCACTAAAGTTTGTTTTAATCATGTCTTACACAATGAATTATAAAATCTGTATATTCTACTTATGGAGGATGACAAAGGCAACACATCTAATGAGACACCCTAATCAAGTTGCACAAAACGAAAACACGACCTGATTCTAGATCTGGAGATAGGGTTGAAGTGCATGCGTTGCAGTTGTGTGGAGACAGAAATTCGACACATGGATACCGCCGAATAGGTACGTGATCAGAAATATATTTAGATCTAAATTAAGAACAGTTGTCTAAAATCTATGTTATTGAGTCATTATAGTTTGTTATTGATTGCCCATTGAACTCTATGTTGTAGAAACAATTCATGTTTAAATATAATATTGGGTAAGTTCAAAGCTATATAATTTTACAAAAATCTAAATCGGATTGTTTGTGTCTGTGTTTAAAGGGAAAGGAGAAGAAACATAAAAAGAGGAGATCTGGAGTTTAATCAAGAACAATATCAGTTTCAAACCAATTTCATGTTTTTTTTTCCTGTTTGCAATGATCACTTTTGAAGACAGTATGTACTTGGTTTTATTTTCTAAAAACTATTAAGTTTATTTCGATGACATGATAATTTGGTTTTGAAGCATTCTCGATGAAATGTCAATAGATGCCCAATAATATGCTACAACTAAAGTTTGGTTAAAATATGTTATCGAATAGAGTTTATCACTGGAATATCCGACTACAGTTAAAAATCAGAGATCAAACCATTAATACATGAGATCCAACTTAGTGAAAAATCAAAAAACGTTAAATCTATTAAAAACTATAAAACCGAATGTAATGGACTTGTACAATAAAAAGAACTAACATATTTCGAGATACATAGAGACAACATATCACAAAACAAAACACAGTAAAAAGAAATATCATATCTTGTCAAAAACCTCCTTGTAGACGACATTCAATGTTTTGTTTTGTGGTTTGTTGTCTTTATCGGTGATCAATATCTTCAAACCTTCTCTTGATGTAACCCTCGATACAGCGACATAGAGTTGCCCATGAGTAAAAACCGGTCTTGGAAGATACAAACCAACCTTTTCGAGTGTCTGTCCTTGGATTTTGTTTATAGTCATTGCAAAAGCTAATGTGATAAGAAACTGCTTGCGTCTCATCCTGAAAGGAAGTTTCATCTCCGAAGGAGAGAGGAATATCCTAGGAATCAGTACCTTTTCACCAACCTTGCTACCTGTTATTATCTGAGCCTGGAGAACATAATTAGCCATCTTAATAATGATGAGTCTTGTGCCATTACACAACCCATTCTTAGGGTCGATATTTCTTAAAAGCATTACAGGAGTACCCTCTCTCAACTTCAGGACATGATTAGGGAAACCAGACATCTTGATACTAGTTAAAAACTCTTCGGTATAAATCATATTGTTGGAATCACCTTTATTCTTACTGGCTACACTCTCTGAGGGTACTTCAGATGCATCATTGTAATTAACAACTTCTTCAGTCGTATCAATGCTATCACAGCTAAGATAGGTCCTTTCAACACCTGTTATATACAAAACAACCGTTGTATTATATAAATATAAACAAATAAACTAAGAGAAATTAAAACAAAATAAACATACCCGATAACTTTGAAAGCATATAATCATTTATCGTATCTACATCATCGGTTATTGGACTCAGTATGACACGGTCTTGGAAAAATTTAGGATCAGTCTCTTTCGAAAACGAACTCCCATATTTTTCTTTGACGATCGTTTTTATAGGATCTTTACAGTCTTTAATCAACAGATCATCAGGAATATCAATCACGGCTTCACCACTACCATCGTCATTTATCGTACCATCACCAATGTCTAAGATCCACTTTGTAAAGGCAGCTCGTTCAAGCATCGCACGACTATTATCTCCAGCTATAAGTCGCATGTTCTGTGTAAGTCTCAACACTCTACATTTGTACCACAGAGGTGACGAATTCAAAGTGGCCATAAGTATCTCTGTCTTCCCGGCATTTGGAATCACTGGCAATATTTGCCTAAAATCCCCTCCTAAAACAATGACCTTATCACCAAAGGGCTTATCAACTTCTAATATATCACGCATCGTTCTATCTAGAGTCTCGAAACAGTCTTTACTCATCATCAACGCCTCGTCCCATATAATGAGTTTAGCAATCCTTATCAGGTCGGCAAGATTCAACTCCTTCTTGATTGAACAGAAGGTAAACTTATTAACCACAATAGGGATTGCAAATCTTGAATGCGCAGTTCGGCCTCCTTCTAATAACAACGCAGCAATCCCGCTCGATGCAACCTTGAGAACAACATCACCTTGGGAACGTAGAGCAGATCCTAATAGACTCCACAAATAAGTTTTACCAGTACCTCCAGAACCATAAACAAAGAACATACCTCCTCTGTTCTTATTAACTGCTTCTAGTATCTCATCATAAACACTTCTCTGTTCACTGGTTACAGTGGCTAACATCTGCTCGTTTCTTACTCTAAGAGTTTCACGATTGTAATTCCTCTCATCCCGAATAAGAGGATTATCACGTGACTCCAGAGTAATATCTTCAGGAAACCACATAGGTGTGAATTCTTTTAAGGATCTCCCACTTACACGTAAAAGAAGTTCTATTTCGACCAGAGTAAAGTCTTTAACTTGCTCCTGAGATAGACTAACAGCTACACAATTTCAAAAAAATTACAAAAGATAAATTAGCTATCAATATCTTAAAGATATATAATAACAACAACGCAAACAATAACTATACGACTTACTTTGATCCCTGGCAGCTTTTCTGTAATTATATATGATGTCATCTGATAATACCTGCCATGTAGCATCCCAAACTCTAGAAGGAATGGATATACTTTGAGTAGTGAGCAGGATCACAAAAAGACGACGGAGATAACTGGCAGAAAGCCACAAGCCGCCCTCATTGATGGCCTCAATATATTCTTTGTCATCATTCAATAATCCATACGCATAGCAAGCGTCTTTGAACGAAGAATGTAGAACTTTGTTGACCGTTTTTATATCATCAAAACTACGTGGTCCTTTGACTAAATTAAGCAGAAGCCTTAAATAATACGCTTCACCTGCCCCAATGGGTACGTACGTGATTCTACCAAGAGCAACTCTCCTTGATCGTGGCGTCCATATTCTCTTTGTGTTATTCCACACAAATCTCGTAGGAAATTGCGCATAAGTTAACGTCCTCGCCAATTCATACATATCGTTGCACTCCATCCAAGCAATGAATTTTGACGTACCAACTAAGACACGATTAATAACCTCGTCACCTGGATCATCCTCGTTGTATATGACCATTTGCTGATTCGGTAAATGAAAGGGTAGTTTAATTACAGAAACGGTGCGATGGTGAGTATGATTACGGAAAATTCTCCACGTAGACTCCGAAGGTGCTACATACCTACATAGAAATACATTATTAAATAATGGAAGATTGGAATTTCAAAGATATAAAATATGTGAACAAAATGTTTAAAACATACCTACAATTGAAGTGTTTCTTAATCTCGTTTTCCTTATCATCATTCTTGACAGTTGCACGAATGTAGTCAGCACCTTTATGAATATATTTGAATAGATACTTTACTGATCGAGATTGTACACACCATTCGACGTTGATATGAGCCCTATAAAGCAGTGTGAGACTCCTATTATAAGGAACCACAAATCCATGATCACATTCAATACCCTTTTTAACGATAACTTTCTTGTCATTACGTCGCCTGTATATAGGATATCCAACATCATCTATTTTAGTGATCGAACTGTAAGGTTTTGGAAAATACTTTGTACATTTTCCTTCAGCCATGCAAACACTATCCTTATTCAAAGCACCACATGGTCCATGCATCATGAAATCTCCTACTATCTCATACAACGCTGGATCAATATCCTTGTCAGGAATCTCAGCACATATTATCTTATCAATGTCATCACCAGCTGGTAGCTTGTGACCAGCTTCTAAAAAAGAACGATGTGTGCATGAGGTAGCCTCCGTTTTTGAAATTCAATCGTGTAGATCGCTGCAACGAATAAATGGTAGTTTTTAAAAGATTAGTTAGCATGATCATCTAGCAATTTTATGAACATTATTTTGCTAAACGAAATAAGATACTTAGTTTAATAAAACATACCGGCTTTTACGACACCTAACACATTTTCCTTGGTGAGCCTGTGCATGAGATCATCTAGTTTCATCTTGAACACTCGCGTACATATATCTGGTCTATCCTCTTGCTTCAAGTTATGTCTTTTTAGGTGCCTGGTAATCTCAGGCCATTTGGGATTACACGTAAAGGTTATGAAAAGATCCGGAAAACCAAAATGCTGGCAAGTAGTCATCGCATCTAGATAATGTTGCACCATATACCTTGTACCACCAGCATAAGAAGAAGGTATAATAATACGTTTACCCTTGTCAAAAAGATCAGTGTCACCTTCATCAACAGTTTTTTTTATTTTGTCATAATTTTTGAAACGAAGTTTAGACTGATTCATTGATATGAAACGTAGTCTATTAGTCTCAATCATCGTGTACGCATCCACTAAAAACTGCTGGAACAATCTTCCAGATAAAGGGATGATTGGTGACTCACCAACCCTCTCTTGTATGCGGTAAGCAAAAAACTCTTTCATAGTAATATGCAACCTTTTCCTCCCTTGGGTATCTACAAAACCAATATCGATACCAAGTCTGAACCCGTCCTCACCATAGGGAAACAATAATGGATATTGCAAAGGCAGATACACAGGATGTAGTTCACTGATCCTTTTGAGATTCCCAGTCTTTTTACACTCGATGATGATATCACGTGCATCTACCTGACCATTGAAATCATTAGGTATCAATGCAGCAACTTCATTAGTAGCTGGTAGATTCTCAGTCCTTCCATCGCTTTTCCTGTCACACTTTAAAATTATCCTTAACCGGCTTGTATCATCATTAGGATCAAACCTTTCTCGAACGTTTCGTAATGCATCCACATGTTTGTTATGTTTATCTAGCATATTTTTTATTTTCTCAACAACCTTCCCTCGCAATTTATCATCCGGTCCCGTTTTCCTGTAAAATTTTTAAAATAAATTCTTATAACAGTTAGAACCATATAACATTTAATAACAATACATATATGTTTTAAAATTGATCTCAATGATTAAATTTAATATAAACCAAAAGAATAATAATCTTACCCACAAGCAGCTATTCGGTTAGATGTTTCATTTGCGGTATCATATATATATAGCTGTAAAAAGGCTGGTTCTTTTCCAGGAGGTGGTAGCAACTCCCCTATAGAATGGTAGTTCTCCCCACTCATTTGGAAAATGTAAGGACCTTTCCCGTCGTTGATTTCTTTATTTATTTTTCCTCCAAGAGAAGTGAAAGAAAACATCATATTATACGCCCGGATAAACTCACGAAAGTGATCACGCAAATCACCATCATTATACATCAATGCTAATAAGGATTTCGGAGGGGTTTTAAGAAGTGGAAGAACGACTTTACCCTGACCACAACACATGGAGAATATAGGCTTCCCACGTCGATATCGTTTGCTCAACTTCTCTCCATACCATATATAAGCCTTACAATTACCACATATATATATATAGGATCACCATCGTCGTAATAACCTAATTAAAATAATATTCATTGCTTAGTATTAATTACACAGTAGTTATATATTATGTATTGAATGAAATATATTAGTACAATGAAAACCATAACCTCCATCTTTCAGACCAGGACTAACTGATTCCAATAAATCTGTTCTAGTAACAACGGTCTCTGTTGCATCCTCATCACAAAAATCAGAGATTTTAGCACGTTTTTTGAGTCTTCCTTTCTTTTTATTACCAGGCCTCGATTTTTCCACATCCTCACTTTCCGACATAGAGTCTTCATCATTATCCATATCGGACTCAGAATCAGTTGCAATAAAGCAAGCAAACTCTTCGGTGTTGATAGAAGTAGCCAAAAGATCTGTTTGTTTTTTTAACGGAAAAAATAATAAGTGTAAATCAGGCATATAATTATTAATAAACATTGTAATTACGAAAAAGAAGATCAAACCAATAGCTTCTTTTCTTTTTCTCCTCTCACGCATGATATGCATTCGTCTCTGCTGTGCATTACGAATTCCTGGGGGTGTTAGATCAGGAACTTCATTGATATTGTAACGGAACAAACCTCCAAGTTAGTCTATATCGGTTACACTGGTAGGAGCATATCGTGCGTTCTTAGCATTACCACCTACAAATTCAAGTTAATAGTAAGCCAATTTATAACACGTAAATATCTTAAAAATGTAATTTACTTAAAAAACACCTTTATTTGGAGCAATCGACGAAAATGAACCTTTTTCTGAGGACGCCCAAGCTTACGTTTCATTTTTTCTGGTGAACAGCACGAACAAAAAAAAAATGTGTGATCTAAATACTCAATCATTAACAAACTATATATATGAAATATTATATTACGCGATAATGCAAAATATACATTTTAGCTTCTCATAATAAATTAAGATTTTGGTAATAAAAAGAATTTCGAAATAGAAAACCGCACGATAATGTTAACATTACTTATTCTTCGCGATAATATGCCTATCTTCTCTAATGCCCCATAATACTCCAATATCGAAAATTTACATTTTTCGTGATAATGTTAAAATTCTATTGAAATACTTTTACATTACAATAACGCGGATCTATAAATAATTATTTATTGTTCCAAATATGCAGAGTTAATCCTAAAAATATATCTCTACATTACAACAAATATATTATCCTAATGTTTTACGAAAACCGAAAAGACTATCGTTATATTTCTTAGAAATTGAATATTCTCCCAAAAATATGGTTATTTAACATATCATTCAAAAAATTATATCACATTTTTTTTTTCTCGTGGACAATTATACTACAATTCGTTACATAGGCGTTTTGGGGATAACTATGAACATCGAAATCCATACATGAAAATAATAATTAAAAAATCTTATTTTCATACACTGCGTCAAAAGTCAAGTTTTATTCAAATCACATACGATGTTTAACACAAACCACAAAACCTAAAAATAAAAATTAATATAAAATAATTCCTAAAACATTAGCACGGAACTCGTAACATCAGGGTTTAACGACTGGATATCAACTCTCGAAACTGATAGACCTCGAGGCATGGCGAATTTAGAATAACTTGTGTGCAACCATACGACGTAGTTGCCAAGAAACACCCTATATTATCGAACAAACGAAAATCAAATCATATTTATCGCATATACTTTACAACCATCTCATATCAAAAATAAAAAATATACCTCGTCGAACAATTATCTTCGCAAATCGAATGATGCAAATAATGACATCTTGTTTACATCCACCCAACTCATGAAGAAAAGTTTCAGCATAATCACCTTTCAAAAAACATGATAAACGTCGGTTCCTAAAGTTTCCCATCAAACAAATATCAGTCTGAGTTAAACTTAAAAATTCGTTTTTTAAATTCTATTAACATAAAATAGATTACCTTTCGTTTTCGAGATCAAATCTTATTATAGGCTGTCTAGAGTATCCTAAGGATCCAATTCTATCGTGAGAGTTTCCAACGTTGACAACCTTACCGATTAAATCTGTTTTTTAAAAAAAAAAAATATCAAATAATCAATATAGTAATTGCATGACAAATCGGTAATTAAAAATACACAGAATACTCACCCATACAGTAGTTAAAATCAATAGTCCCATTCATAATATCTTCGAAAACAACGAACGAAAAATAACCATTGATATCTAAAGTATAAGAGCTTGCACATGTTGTATCACTGGTAAGTTGAATCATATAAGGATGTGTACTTGGCTTAAATTCACCAGTAAGAGGCAATAGATTAAATTTTATTAGAAGAACCCAATCACCCTCGTTACAAATCCTCGAATACTTATCATAAAATTCAATCGGTGCAGTTACATAAATCTTCTGTCCCTGAGAAGTATGGAATCAAACATTCAGACATTTATCATTACAAAAACTAAAATATAATAATGAAATTGATGTGTTATACCTTCCAGTCCCCCATTATAAAGTCTAACGTGCGGTCACATTCAGGAAATCTTTTAAATTTATGTAAGACTTTCAACTTAGTTTTCCATATATGCTTGGTAGGATCGAGTTCGGAAATTCCAAACAGATTTTGATCATATTTTTTATATACGGCGGCTATAGATAGTAAATAAGCCATTTAGGTTAAACGCAAACCCAGAGCCTCAAAACAATTACAACGATTACGTCCAAAGATAACTTAAATAAACATAGCAGAGACAATTCTTAAACCAAACTTTTGTTTCCTATTTATACAATTTAAAATAAAAGGATATATCGAATATTTTACATTTTTGAGATACCTTAATGCTTATTTTACATTTTTAGGATAACATAGGACCTTGATAGAAATTTTATCATGATCACAGGGATACCGTTTCCGATTTGTATTAGGGATCTATTATAATATACTATTATAATTATAACAATTTTCCAATTGATATTAGGAATATATCGGAGGTGAGCCATTTACATTGTTATATATAAAAACGATGTATTAGCATTACCGAGTTATATATGATGACTACTTTTTAGGTTTTATAGGCACTACATCATGTCGATCGCTGCTTGTCTTTTAGCAATGAAAAAAACATGACTTACACCAATGTCTCCGATATAACTCCATCAATTCAACTACGCCGTATTCGTGTGAAAATACTGCGTATGTTCGAGCACATCGGTGAACCTGATAACACTTTAGATTTGGTGTTGGTTGATAAAAAGGTATTCCGGTGACTTTATATTTTTCATGCATATCACGTCTCTGATATACATATTTTTTGTTTTTTAGGGTGATAAAATACATGGATCAATATCAAAAGGGTTTATAGACAGTTTTACATCAGAAGTGAAGCAAGGAGATTCAATTATTCTGTACCGTTTTGGTGTAGTCCCTGTCATCGGAGACTTGAGGCCGACATTGCACAATTATAAAATAATATGGAATTCTCAAACTTATTTTTCAAAGCTCCCTTTCTATGATACCAATAACTACCTAAGTATCGTTGAATTTGGTAACATACACAACAATCTCCGAGACCCATTGTTTTTCGTTGGTATGACTTTAGATAAATTAATAAATAATAACAAAAAATATATGCTATTTTATATCTATAAACTTTCTTAATGACTAACTAATTTTTCTATTAGATATAATTGGACATGTCGCAGTGATTGGAACATTTAGTCACAAATCCTCCAAGAGCCAAAGAAAGTGGGGTAATGTTTACGTGGAACTCCGTAACGAATCGTAAGTTTTTTAAATATGTTTCTCAATTGCAATCACTGTAATTATCAATTTTTACTACATTATATGATTATTATATGCCCAACAGAGATGTTAGATTGCAAGTGTTATTACGGAACGACTATGCACATGACCTGATGACTGCTTTATCACAGAAAGAACACAAAATTAACATTTGTGTTATACGTTTCGTGCAACTGTTCAAATTTGCACATGCTTGGGCAGCGATAACTGCATACGATTGTACCAAAATTTTACTAAACCCTAACCTACCCGAAGTCGAGAGAATGCGGACCACAATCACGGAATCAGACAATGGTGTTATATTAAACTTTTGAATAGTTTCTTTTTTCGCATGTTTTATTTTCTTTTTTTTATATGTTTTTATCATTTGATTCAATAAACGATGGTACTATATCAAAAATCTCCTCATATTATTATTTTCGTATACATTACTTTTTTCAATTTCTAAAATATATGTTTATTATATATATGCATATTTATTTTCCTAGTAAAATATTATAATACTTTTAAATCAACAACAGTGTCAATGGACTATGAACACAATTTTGCATTGAAAACAAAAAGTGACACTCTTTGTAAATCAAAAACAATACGCTAAAATGAGTTTGCGGAACAGATGAATTTTATAGATATTGAATATTTTATTTATTACAATAAAAATAAAAAATAGCTATGTTGTTCAAATACACAACCTATAAAAAACGAAATAAAAATTTAATATCTCCTACGGATACTGATCTTCATATTCATCATCCAAAGGGGTAAAATCAACTGCAGTTTCAAGCCTGATACAATATGACAATATTATAAAATCATAAAATAGATGTCAATAGAATACATATACAGGATATAACATCAAAATTGGAATCTACATACCTCATCTTTGCTATTGCCACTTCTGGAGTAGGAGGATCCTCGAGAATATCAGATATGAATCTTTCCGATTCAACTATCCACTCATCTAATAACATATACATATTCAGTATGCATGTGGAAACAATAAATCTGTTAAACTTCTAATTAAATGCCATATTGAATAGATATTAATAGTTAATATTTACGTACCCCTCCACCTATTGAAAGAGAAAAATCGCAATACAATAATATGCCTTGAAGACTTATCACGATTCGTCCAAAGTTCTTCAAATTTCATTGCCAAGTTGTCCCAAGCAATACATTTCAAGGAATTTCCACTGTATATATTTACACCAACATAGAAGATAATTAGCATATTTTAATATATCAAGAAACCCAAGTCTGACACCAGATACTCTGAGGATAAGTTGTACTTACCCGAGATCTTCGAGTACAAAACGAATAAGTGGACGTTCTGTGGGTGTATCCGATGTATCGGACATATGAACTCCTATTTGAAGTTTCTGAACAAAAGTGACAACCCCGAGAAGATCAACTGCAAAATCAAACAACTAAGTTAGAAAAAATTCATTTCTCAGTTAATGAGATAAACCAAGATAATAACATGCATGTAAGATACTTACCAAGATATCGTTCTGTTTGAATCGACGCAAGCAAAATATATGAATGGA